GTACTTATAAAACCAAGCCTTGCCTTGACCATCTACTGGGAATCTGTATGTTTTGTGCATGTGGTGGCCCTTCTACCTTGCAGGGTTAGCATGAGAGCTACAGCGCTTAACCTGTGGCTTTTGAGGAACTTCCTGGAAGTGCTGCTGAGCAAAACAAAGGTGTTGAGAGGATGCTGGGCAGGGGGATTCCCCCAGCCATCAGCACATTTGGCATTCTTGCTTTCACTTACGTCAAGACAACTAGGACAGTGTGACTGCATAGTTAAAGCAGGCCTCCCTGACCTTCATGATCCTTGACAATTTCTTTTTTATTTTAGTTGGCCTTTGTGCTGGAAGGGGGTGTGGCAACCTCCCACATCACTCCTGTCATTCATATTCATGAGCTGATTTGCATGAACCTATGAGTGGGCTGGAGTCAGCAGCTACAGGAGGCTTGGTAACTAGGACAGTGTGACTGCATAGTTAAAGCAGGCCTCCCTGACCTTCATGATCCTTGACAATTTCTTTTTTATTTTAGTTGGCCTTTGTGCTGGAAGGGGGTGTGGCAACCTCCCACATCACTCCTGTCATTCATATTCATGAGCTGATTTGCATGAACCTATGAGTGGGCTGGAGTCAGCAGCTACAGGAGGCTTGGTTGGAGAAGGATGAGCTGATTTGCATGAACCTATAAGTGGGCTGAAGTCAGCAACTACAGGAGGCTTGGCTGGAGAAGGAAGAGTCAGATAGGGCTGGTTAGTCAGATAGATAGGGTTAGTCAGAGATAGAGCTGGTTACAGATAAAGGTAGTGAGGGTGGTAATGAAATTGCAAGCGAAAATAACTATGTACTGAAGGAACTGTTGATGAATTGCTTATGTATACTGAATATCTGAAAAACTTTTGTTATTACTCTGACATATGTCATTCATACTGTGGATTGAAGTAATCCACTGGTGGTAGTGAGAAGAGAATGTGACGTGTGCCTCTGTGATAGTAATCCACTGGTGGTAGTGAGAAGAGAACATGATGTGTGCCTCTGTGAGGGAATAATAAACAGGGGGCATGTGGGTAAAGGTCACAGGGGGGTATAATAGATGGTGTTCCAGGAACACTATTCTTCATACACTTTTTAGCACATGTACAGTGGGAATTAAATGACTCTGCATGAGGCTCAGTGGTTTCAAGACCAAGGGAGATACATTGCTGTACCTTCTCCAACTTATCCACCTTCTTTGTAAACATCTATTTTCAAGGCAGCCATTTTCTGTTTACAGCATGACTTGGGTTAGCCTGCAAACATTGTGCTGGGATTTAAATTTTGTTCAATATTGAGCAGATTCATTGGAAACCGTGACACAAAACCAACTCATTTATTTCAAAGTGGCAACACTGCAATTAAACCTGAATACTGAGGTTTAGTTTAGAAAAAACAACTGCCCCTGCACTGCAAGGGTTAAATGCTTGTTCTTCTCCCCTAGGGGCAATATTAACAGAGAAATACTTACCAGTCCTCCAATCCCCCATTGGGCTAGACCCAACAATGGCCACCATTGCACCCCTCCACTGGGCCACTACACCAGCAGAGGGGAGTGCCAAAATCCAGGATCGGAGGACAGGTAAGTATTTCTCAATGGCGATTTCTGGCTTGTGTGCCCATAGGGAGGGCTCTGTGTGCCAGCTGTGGCATGTGTGCCATAGGTTCGCCATCGCTGCTCTAGAGTCTGTTGAAGTTTGTTGTTGAAAGCAGTCATGTTTGTCAGTTTGCTGTGTGATCTGTTCAATTGTAAGTAATTAAATTTTTATTCTTTCTCCTACTAATGTCTCAGAGTAAATTATTGAGATTGATAGTGCTGGTTTATGAGAAAAAGAGGTGGTGTACTCTGGAACTTGAAGCTAGTTTGCTTTGTGAATCACTGCACTTCTGCTCCACAGCTAGAACAATTTAACCAAAATTTAATTTAATTCAATTTAATTCAAAACTCTGCAACAGATAGTTCTCATGGCAGCACTTTTGTGTGATTTATTTTACTGGCTCCATATAATATATTGCTCCTATTTGCAAAGGGGAGGGGGAGAAATGCTTTATGATAGAAGATATGTAGTATCCAAATTATGCATAGCTGAAATATAACATCAACATTACATTTCTGTGTCTATCAGAGATGCCAAAAATCATTTAATATCAGTAATATGACAAGCTATAACTAATTCTAGATTGTTCTCTAGTTTCCCTCATGTGACAGTTAACATTAGATTGCTGAGTGGCCAAACATAACTTGTGCAGAAAACAAATGTCATCAAAAGTCATCATATAAACTTACCCTCACCTTGGTAGAAGCTGACTGGATAGCTCAGTAAGTTAGATTTCTGGTTGTGGAGCCAGAGGGTGGGGGCTCTGGCTCCACATTCCAGAACAGCCAGCCTGTGTGCCCTCAGGCGAGCTGCACAGTCCCAGGACACCCCAGAAGAAGGGCACAGTAAACCACTTCTGCATACTCTATACCTAGAAAGCTCTGAAGGTAACCATTAGTCAGAATTGACTCAATGACACACAATTATTATTAAACTAGATAGAGGGGGAAATTGTGATAAAATCCAAAATGTGTGACTATCATTCATGACTGGTTCATCAATACATGTATTAAACCTAAGCAAATGTGCACAAAATTATGGGCAAGTTTTCAAGACCTTTCAAAATCTCTTCATCAGGTAAGATTTTAAATTGGAGGGGCAAGGGTTGGGGAAATCTTGATTTGACTAATGAGCTGAAGCATCATTTAATCGCTAGCAAAACAGCAGTGCTGACTACTGCTGAAGGAATGCAGGAAATAAAATGCAGAGCAGATTATGTGCTACAGTATGTGGGGAAAGGTCTGATCATAGATAGCTTCTTATTTTCTACAAAGAATTATCCACTAACAGGTGATTTCTTATAGTTAACTAAGTCCCTAAATTACCCAGTAACACTAGCCCAATTCAGGCATTAAGCCTGAAAGCATGTAGGTCTGTAATTTTGGGGACAGCTCATATGTCTCCACTGCATCACTAAGTAGGGCAGACCTTCCTGGATTTATTGCATGTCTTTGCAAAGGTGCCTTGTAAGCATCTAAGTTCTGATAGGAGAGAACTCCCACTTCGACAAATATTATAAGTATGTAGAGGTTCCCACAAACGCATGAAGTTTTGGCATATGGGTTTGTTTCCATGCCTCTGTCTCCCTACCATGATTAGGTAGGCCTGAGCCCTGATTAGAACTGTTGTGTCTTCCAAGGATCTACAGTATATGCTGTTTCATCATGTTTTTGATAATCCATTTCAGCATAATTGAATCCTATTCATACATTGCAATTGTGTGCTGAAAGAATGCTTAGGGGAACATGGGCTTTTCCCAGGTCCTTCTGGCGCAGTTTCCATCAACCTCCATGTGTGGAAGATGGTGTCCTAAAAAGGAATGCTTCTGTCCACGGATGCCCTCTCTATTGGAAAAGCGGGGATGGAGGAGTATTCCCAATTGTGTGGGGAGCATCTATGGACAGAGGTGGGTCTCCAACTCAGAAGCCTGCCCTCCCAATGTAGAGGGTGATGGAAATGGTGACAAGGTGGTGAGGCTACCATGAGCCCTCTCCTTGTGTATTTATTCAGCATGGATTTTAATGCCTATATTGCACTTCTACCAAATCTGAAACAAAAAATTAAACTTTTTTGACAATAACCACAGCTGTTAGGCAACACCTTAAAAGTATATATACACTAAATCCTCTGAGAATTTTTGCATTTCTACAGTTGTTGCAAATGATTGTTCACTAGCCTGTTGACAGATATGCTGATCTGTTTTATATTTTCTGATTTTTATTGTGGGATAATTTATTTAATCACACATATGGGGATTTTCTAAAAAATGTTTGAGGCAATGCTATATAAGAGCCATAGAAAGCAACCATATGGCACATCAAGAGTTGTCCTTATAAGCTCAACAAATGCCATTAAACCTATATTTCTTGATCTTCATCTCATAAATGTGTCCAGGTTCTTCTTGATTTGATTTACACTACATGTTTCTTTTGCTTACTTCAGCACTTTATTCCATCTTCCAGCCACTCATTGTGCTAATCAGATTAATGTTTTAGCGACATAGCATTTTTAAAGTCTCCTTTCTCTTTTGAAGTTAAAGAGGAGGATATGTTTATCAAGACAAAATATGGTGTATTATATGTTAAGCATGAAAATGTGGATCTAATTAAAGACACAGTAGGGCCCCCCCCCCAAAAAAATACAAGCAGGAAACTGTTCAGCGTTCATCCTTCTGTAATAGTAATATTATAATAATAATACAAGAATGGCAAAGCTGGAAGGGACTCTATGGATCATCGAGTCCAGCCTCTTGTCAAAGAGGTACAGTGGGGAATCAAACTCTCAACCAAGCTATCCAGCAGTTCATCTAAGATTAATTTCTATAATATGGGGTGGGATGAAAAAGAATACCAAGGTTTTGATTCATTAAAAGGAATCCTTCCCTATTATGCAAGATGGCAAGTGAGGTTGCTCCCATTTATTTTGTTTTGAGTTCATAACACAAACATTAATAAAGATGTGTTTGAGAATGTCAGTTCATTTTTGCACAAAGCTATCACAAAAAAAGAATTGGCTATGGGCAAGATGTTTCAAAATGACTTTCATTGTAAACTAATACAGGACATACATTCCCTTGTCCTGTTCCCTATCCTGCCTGGGAAATCCAGCACGGCATCATTGTTGATGGGAGTTGTAGTAAACATCTGAAAGGCTGAAAGAGCGGGAGGGAAACTAGAATGAGGTGGATCCAGTAGCCTTCCAGTGAGTGGCAAGAATGTAAAGCACTAAAACAAATGAGAGCCCTCTGAGCAAACCTTTCATAATCATGTAGTGGATTTGTAAGATCAGATTTGTTTGATTTAAAGTCCCAGAAAATTGTCTGAAGGTCTGATATCTCTTAAGTATTCTTTAAATTTCCAATTTATATAAATATTTGTCTCTTCCCAGAAGAAGTTTGCTATCCCTTGGAAGACAAAATAAAGAAGAGGAAGTCATGCAAAACAAAGACAAAAGCTTCCATGGACTCCAGTGTGGTTGCAGCAGTTTAACAGATGAGGAGAATTTGGGTCTTAATGTTGAAAATGCTTTCGAAGAAAGGAGTCAACAAAGGAACTAGTCCCCCAGAGACAATGCAAAACAAAGGATGTGAATGAGAATGGAATGAACTCTTCAGTGATCAAAAGGAATCCAGACATGATACCACAGTTAAAGGAACTTTGTCATGCAAAGTAGTTTTAGCCTTGTTTTATAGCAGTGCTCCGTTATTAGCTGAATAATAAAACTATTGAGGCTTTTTTTATAAACCGCACCTGCTTCAGATGTTGGAATGACCAGAATCTTTGCACACAGAAACTTTATTATGCTCCTCTAATTTCATCTCCCCTCATAATCTACCTGCAGGTGCTAGAAACCTGGCATTATGTCATGTGCCAAACAAAATGCCACTTGTACTTCAACTTTGGATTTGCAGGCGATAGAGAAAACTGGGCATGTGCTTGCTCTGAAATCTTCTCTTACACAATGGCTGACCCAGAGTACTACCTAGAGAAGATGCTGCACAGCAAAATGAAACATTAATGCAGTCTGCTTTGTTGCAGTAAGGACAACTGAGTGACAACAGGACTGGAGTAAAAATGGATATCCTAAGGAACTAGAGAGAGGTATCAGCATGCTTGGGTGAATTCTGAAGCATGCAGAAATATCCAAAACCTTTGTTAAAACCTCACACAGGGAAACATTCCTTTCAGCATCATAGTAAGGACTAAGCATGCTCAGTGGCTTCCAGGGGCCATAGAGAGTTGACTGCATGTTGGAAAAACAACATGGAAAACTGTGAGAGCAGGTGAGGACAGTTAGATGAAAGGGAAATTGAGTCATTTCAACATGGTACCTTGAAGAACTGTCATGAATATCTGACACTGTACAGAATCAGTTCTATTGTAGACTGAAGATTACAGATGGGCATGAATTAAAAAACAAATTGCAAAATTCATCAAAAATCACTAATTCATCCATTCATATTCATCAGAAGTGATGCCCCTGATGAATGTGACTCAATGAATTTTAAATGATTTTAATTTGTCGGGCTATAAAATGGGCCACCAGGCACCTAGAGATGCCAAAAACACAGAGACGCTTCCCCTAGATATCATCGACAATTCCACCAAGTTTGGTGAAAATTGAACTTCCCCAAACCAGCTGCTAAGGTGTACTTTCCTGGAAGAACCCACTTTGTGGGTGTATAGCTCGGATGTCCAAGTTGACATGATAAACAATTCCATCTATAGCACTATAGCTCTGGGTTTCTACGCTGTGCTTAGGCATGAAAACCATGCAGGACATTTTTTGGCTAAAGTTCACAAAAATATGTTATTAAATTATTTTTTATTTGAATCAGTATCTCCTTCGTGATAACATGGATATTTTATAAGATGTTATGTAAAACCATAATGCATGAAGGACAGTGTCTAAAATGTCAGACTGAAGCTTCTGTCAGCCTATCCAGCATAGGCAAAGGTGAAGGATTATGGGATTTGTAACCTATCTGAAAGACAGCACTTTGCTCACCCAGTTTTGCAGTTTAGGATATTTTTTTCATTTATTAAATCTAGAATTAGTGGGTTACTAGGGATTCTATGGTTTCTGTTTTGATCAAGAAACACTATTTTTCCAGGGGAAAACATTTTCTTGGAAATTGGACAATATCCATTTTACTGATTCCTTAGTGGCCTCACTTTATACACAGCTGTGCCTATTTAGAAGCTTATCTGATCAGGAGGATGAGCTTTATCCTACTTTTAGTGCAAGGAAGAAGGGCGCAGTAAATTTTGTAAGGCCAGTCCACTAACAACCCAGACAGGAAGGAGAGCTTTTATTCCGACTGGGTGATAACAGTTACTACACCACACCTGTCTCAGGTAACAGACCATTTCACCACTTAGTAAACATATAATGTCAACCTTCTTAGGGAACTGCTTTGATCCAAAGTGTGCCACTGACATGAATTGTAGGCATTTTCAGTATTTGTCATCTTGGCTGAAATCCTTTGATGTCACAAATCTCAGGAGACTAAAACTGTTAGCATACAAAGAAGCCAATCATTCCATTGATAGTTGTGATTCTGTAACATAATGCTAGGGAAACACTCAAACGTATGTACAAAAGGCCCAGGAATCTCCATGAATTTATACAGCTATGGGGTCCCCCCCACTCATGTAATCAGTAGAAAATGCTGATTCTTATAAAAGAAAATATTGCAACATTTTTATTTGTTGACAATTGTTTGACTTGCTCTAGGGCCTAGGCTCTACCTGATAATGGATGCACATGGATGAATTCACTAGCCCAGTAGTGAGGAAATTACAGCCCTGAGGCAACATGCAACCCTCAAAGCGGTTTTGTTGACCCCTGCTCTCCCATGACCCTGTCTTTTTATGTCAAAGAAAGCTAAATTCTGCCTCCCTCCACCTGGTCTGTTTAACACCCCAAAATACCAATTGTTCAAAATTAGAAGTGAATTTCTAATCATCTCTGCATCCATTTTTGGTGATCTCTGTTAACCCTTGAAGCAAAGTGGCGCCTAGATCCACCAAAGTTGCCCATGCATGCAGTAGCCCCTCCCCTTCCATCAGATGCCCTTCTTCCACCCAATGCCAATACTCTCCTCATGGAAGGCAAAGTTAGGAGAGGCCCAGTTTATTTTGCTGCCTGAAGGAAAGTCCAAGGTGGTGCCTCTCCCCATTCCATGTACAAAAGCCAGCTATACTGACAATTGAGCCTTACTCCAATGATAGAAATGGAACTCGCTTACACCTATGGCTTACACCTAAATCTTAGTTTAGAATTATATCCTGAAAAGTGTATTTTTAATTTGTTTTCTTTACTCCATTAAAATGCCTCTCTATGCAAACGTGGTGGGGGTTGCTGGTTACTTGGCTATTCTAAAAGGGGGTCATGACTTGAAAAAGATTGGGAACCACATTCATAAACCAGTTTTTTTATATATATATAAAAAGAACTGAATATTATATATCTTCTAATGGACAAAGTGCAACCTTGTTGGCATCGCTGGTCTTAGACAGCATAGCTCATCATAGAAATTGCTGAGAGTTGCAGTCTAATATGTGAAGGGTCATGATCAGAGCATGACCCTTCTCCTCTTCCAAGCTAGTCTTGGAATTTTTTTCAAAAAAAGTGTGTGCAACAATCTCTGATGATCCTTCTCTTACCCCCCCCCAAAAAAAACACAACAAAGCATTTTCACATGAGGACCAGAGGAGTGGCAAGCAGTTCTTGATTCTTTTCCCGGCATGCTGCTTCTTTATCCTAAACCTCATCCTCGCCACTTCCCTGCCCTGCATTGCAAACAGGCAGTCAGAAACTTTCAGTGGGGGAAGTGGTTTGGAGTGCTTTCAAGTACAGAACGGTTAAGCACCTGCACACTTCGCATTAATCCCTCTTCCTGCCAAGGTGACTTTCCCTTCTTGAAAATAAATCCTGCCTGGATTTCATTCCATGCATCTGAATCCAGTGCATCATTAGACCTTCTTCACTCTTAAAGGAACATGTGTTCTCTTTTTTAACTTAATCTCCTCAAATGTCATGCATGTTTTATTTAGGTAAGCATCATTAAATATCTGCAACACTTTACTCACAGCAGTGCATAATAATAACCTGGGGGGGGAGGGTGTCATGTTGCTAAATGAAACACAGAGCTCTTCTGCATTCCCATCCAGCAGTGATGCTACCAGCCAGCCTCCAATCATTCCAGTGGGATAAAAGATGGCTAAACAACACCAATGCTTGGGGAGCTATCCACCCAAATGTACGTTGTGTATGTCCTCATTAATTTAAAGCTGTGCTTTTGCAATAGATATGTTGGTCACAATCCTATTGGAAAATAGGGCTTGCATTCCGCAACCCTGAGCTCTTGTAGTTCCACAGAATTCTTTTCCAGAAACATGCATGCATAAAGAAGAATAAATGTGGTTATTTTTAGGGACATACTTCCATGTACATGCCTACAAATACTGGCTTTTTCCATGTAGTTTTAGAAATTTATCCTCCTGGTGTGACAAAATACCTGTTTTGTATACCATTATTACACTGTGTTTAGTGGAAATTCAATTTATCTGTGTTCTAGGAAGGGAATTCAGGGGGAATACAGTATCTCCCACCAGCAGCCAGTCCTTTATAACCCAAATAGGTTCACTTCAATGGTACCTTGAAAAGAATAAGATTTAAGGTGTACACATTCTACACAGTTACAGTAATTTAATATCAAATTAACTGGCTCCATCCAAAGGAATACAAAGATACTCAAAGTCTGAGTTACTATTCTCTGCTAATATTCTAGTGTACATTCCTGAACGATCATTCCCACCCTGAGAAGAGGAACTGAGAGTTTGATCAGTTCAACTCTGTTGTGTACATTAAACTGATTTATTCCCTCTTCTTAGATACCATGGGAACTGTTATTCAGAGAACACTGCAGCTCTATAGCACAGAATTCTAAATTCTTCATAAAAATCTGCAAATCCCAGAATTTTCAATGAAATTATAGGAGCCTTGTGGCACATTGGTTAAACTGCAGTGAAAACTCTGCTCACAACCTGAGTTTGATCTTGGGTTCAAGTAGCTGGCTCGAGGCTGACTTCAACCTATCCTTCTGAGGTTGGTAAATTTGAGTACCCAGCTTGCTGGGGGTGGGGTGGGGGAATGTGTAGCTTACAAATTTGAATTGTAAACCACCCAGGGAGAGCTTTAAGTACTATGGGGAGGGATATAAGTAGCACACTTTGCTTGCCTTTATGGTGAAGCCACACAGAGCAGTTACAGTGGTAACTGCTCTGTGTGGTGCAGATATGTACATTAGTGAACAGCTTCCTTCAAGCAGATTTTCAGACAGAAAGGCTAAACCCAGCACAATGGTCATTACAGGCCACTAGCAACAAGCCCTCTAATATTTTCAGCCCCTCTGGGTAGGACTCTGCCTCTCTTGCATGCAACTCTGCCCCCCCCCGGTGCAAGGTTCCGTCACAACCAGAACCAAAGGGGTTGAAAACAATCACTGCGCAGAGGAGGAAGGATGCTGCACAGAGGGAGACACAGTCACGTGCACACAACTTACAGGGAACCTTGTCCACTAGCATGATTGGCCTTTTTTCCCCCCTACCCCCTGCTGCTCCCTGCATCACCCAAAACCCTGCTCCCTTTGGAGCAGGTTTTGAGAATGCATAGGAACCGAGGGAAGATGGCCCCACTCCTGGTTTTGCTGCTGGAAGTAGTTCCATCAGTGGAACAACAACAGTTCCACTATCCTATGTATGCATAGTGTGAGTGTGTATGTGTAAGTGTAAGTGTTTTAATTGAACCACAGATTTTTGCCTGGCTGATACAGTAATTAACAGATGAAGCCAGTGGCCTGTGTTTTATGAGACTTAGAGTAAATCATTATAATTATCCTGTCTGGCCTTCAAATCAGTGAATGCATATATGCATCAGTGACTTAGGAGCCTTAATTAACTATCACACATTGGGCTATATAAAAGCCAAATATTATTTATGCATAGCAATTATAACCCCTATTTCAAAAGTTATTTTTGAGTTGTAACTAATTGGCTTTTGATTAATTCCCTCCCTCTCCCTCTGCCCCCAAATCCCAAGCAGTACCAGGGCTCGTCCCAGCATCTATCTTGATAGATTTAGACATATTCCAACAGGCAATTTCTTGCATCTCTCAAACGACAATCCACACGCCAAGTGCATTGGGAATTTTAT